TGTGAGTGTGTATGTGTGTGTAGGTGTGTGTTTGTTTAGGTGTGTGTGTGTGTGTCTGTGTGAGTGTGTAGGTGTGTGTGTGTATCTGTGTGTGTCTGTGTATGTGTGTGTTTGTGAGTGTGTATGTGTGTGTAGGTGTGTGTGTGTGTAGGTGTGTGTGTGTGTAGGTGTGAGAACAGCGTTTAGTGTTTTAATCCGACTGAACATCAGAACTTGTTCTGTTGGACCTTCATCTTTCTGTTCAGACTTTTCCACTGATTAAATTCAGCGTCAGTGTTTTTAGGAACCTGTGAGGAACCATGCAGAACCTGCTCAGCTGTGTTCTGGAGGTTCTATCAGCCCAGAGTGATGAAAGGACACATCATCACATATTTACTGTTGTGCTGCAGCAGCGCAAGTTTCTTCACTGACCTGAACCAGAACCTGAAGAACCTGAAGCATTCTGCTTTTTGGAAGCCGCTCCAGAGCGCTGGACAACAGTCGTGTTCTCCCTGATCCAGGTCCGACCGTTCTGCTGATCGTTCTGAATCTCTACGCTCTGATAACTCCTCATTCTGCAGCTCAGATCCAAGAACCAGCTGAGGGTCCGGTCTGGCCATCAGGCGGGCTGGGAAGCCTCGACTCTCTGCAGGAGGTTTTCCAGGAAGGAGGTGCTGACCTGATGTCCAGTCAGGCTCAGCAAGAGAACCGGGCCGACAGGCTGCATCAGTCGTCGTCATGTCTGGGATGAACCGCTGGTCTACAGACGGGCTGCAGTTACTGATTAACTGGCTGCATAGACGCAGGTTCAGTTCATGATTCGTGTAACCGGGTTGTTATGGGTTCTGTAACCAGGTCGTTTTGGGATCTGTAACCGGGTCGTTTTGGGTTCTGTAACCGGGTCGTTTTGGGTTCTGTAACCGGGTCGTTTTGGTTCTTCACGTTGTTTTAAGGGTGTTTCTGTGTTTCTGGACCTTGGGACCGTGATTCTGAACACAACTTTTTAGGATGAAAACATTGAAACACTCCGGCTCCGGTCCGATTGTCTTCAGGGTTTTCAGAACAAAGCTGCTGGTGACACACTGTTGATGCTGAGCTACAGGTGAGCGGGTCCAACGAGGACTCTGAACCACCAGTTGAACTGAAGGCTCTGGTATGGGTCACCTGATGGTTCTGTTAGAACCGAACTCATCCTGAGCTGTGTGAACCCGTCCAGGTCGGTTCAGAACCACACCTGAAATCAGATCAACAAATGGAGTCACTGCAACAGTTTGGTTTGAAGTCAGAACATTAAGTTGCTGCAACGTTTTTCTGTCAACGCAACTCGTCAACGTGATGTTTGCAACTTGGAACTTTCTCTCAGGCTGGAGTTTGTGTCCACCGTGGGCCGGTCGGCTGGTGGAGGGGCAGAACCGGTCCAGCTGCAGCCCTGGAGGTGTTCTGACTCCCGTGTCGTCATGGTCACCACCAGGTGCAGCTCGGAGACTATTATGGTCTGCCAGTGGCCGTGAGCTCCCTGGAGACCATCCGCCGCTTCTTCCTGTGTTTTTAGGAGTTGCATATTATGGGATGTATGCTGCCTACTGCGGGAGTATTATGGTCTGTCAGGGAGAGCAGGGAGGGGGCGTCGCCATGACAACGGGGTTGCTAAGGGGGCTGGGACTGCTCGTGGAAAGGGGAAGGCGCGTGCGTGCTGTATGTGCAGTGGTGTGCGTGCGTGCGCGCGCGTACCGGAGGGGGTGGGGGCAGGCTGAGTATTATGGTCTGTCCGTTGCGAGGTAACTATGCAGAGTCCTGAGTGCGTGTGGGAGGGGGGATTATTATGGGATGTCTGCCCCCTTTGTGTGTTTGTGAGGATGTTGGCTGAGCGCTGAGGGACACGGAGCCTCCGACACGTCCGCCGATCAGCTGGGATCGATCCATCAGTGATCGATAGCTGCCTGCGGCAGCTCCTGCACCGACCCGGAGTCCCGAGCCGGTACCGAGCCAGCACCGAGCCGGACCCGGTAAGTTTGAGATGAGAGCAGCTGAGCAGCTCCAACTTTTCTCTCATTGATCCGCAGAGACGCGTCCAGCTGAGGAGCAGGTGGTCCATCCTCTGGGGACCCGGTTCTGACCGGTTGTTTGTGCTCAGGTCCGTCCCCCCACCCCCACCCCACCGGACACCCCCGGTCCGTGCACGGTCCCACGTCATTGTCCCTCCCCCGCCGCCCAGCAGCAGCTTCAGCGGATCAGCGCCGGAGCGGAGCCAGAACCGGGCCGGAACATGTCGTGCAGCGAGGATGAGCGGGAAGAGTTCGGAGCGGCGGAGGAGCAGCCCGTCCTGCCCGGTAAGCCGCCCTGCAGGAGCCCGTCTCTCCGGTACCGAGCCGCCGGCTAACGTTAGCCTGCTAGCCGCGGCTCGTGTCCTCCATGACGGATTAGTTTAAGAACTTGGACAGTTCGGAGTTTGGTTCCGGTGGTTCCGCTGCCCTCGTTCACTCTGTTCACCGTGTGTCGGTCAAAGTTTCACACTCACAAACAAAACGCAAACACGAGCCGCCGTGTGGCCGCGTGTGTGTGTGTGTGTGTGTATGTGTGTGTGTGCGCGTGTGCGTGTGTGCGCGCACGGACCGTGTCAGTGCGCGGTCTCCGGAGCTCTGAGTCCGGCCTGCAGCAGCCTCTGGCCGGGTTCAGCGCTCCGGCCCGGTTCGGAGCTCCGGCCGGGGTGCAGCTCGTCCGTGTCTCCCGCTAACGAAGAGTCTCCTGCAGATGAGGAGGAGCAGGAGGAGCCGCTGTCGGAGGTGGACGAGCTGCCCAAGTCCAAGAAGAAGAAGAAAGCGAAGAAGAGCAGCAGAGAGAACCGCAGCAGCAAGAGGCAGAGACCGGCCAGAGAGGTGGGTCCGGCCAGAACCACGATCCAACCCTAAACTAACCACGACCTAGTGTCACTAAGCGACCCGTCCAGGCTGAGAACACATCTCCTGATCCAGAACATCAGGATGTGAGAGGACCAGCCGCACTAGTGCCAATGACATGATTGTTGTTGTTTCCATCATTAGTTCAGCTGCTGAAGTGTCTGTAATCTATCAGCTGGTTCACCTCTAAAATGTCAGAAAATGTGGATCAGAGTTTCCTCAAAGGTCCAAAGATGTTCAGTTGCAGAAGAAAGAAACCAGAAAACATTCACAGTAGAGTCCAGACTGATCATCACACCGGTTCCTATTTAAGGAACCAGCAGATTCACTGACTGACTGTAATTATTGATGAGTCATGTTTGACCAGCTCAGCTGTACAGGAAGTGATGTCAGGTGTTGCATGAAGCCATAACCAGAGTGGTCCATGTTCCAGGAGTTAGCGGTCAGCTCCCCGGAGCCGCTGCTGGGGCCGGAGGCCGCCGAGCGCGAGGCCGAGGACGGAGGCCTGCGGTCGGACAGCGAGGGCAGCGATTACGCCCCCGGCAGGAAGAAGAAGAAACGCTCGAGCTCGGCCAAAGACAAGAAGAAAGGAGGAGCGGCAGAGAAAGGAGGGTCCAGCAGCGCCAAGAGCAAACGGAAAGAACCGGAACCAGAGGACGACGAGGACGAGGACGACGACTGTCAGGTACCGCTGGGCCAGAGGGAGTGGGTCGGTTCTGTATAATACTATTAACCGGTTACAGACAAAATGAGTTAAATGTTCTACTTTGGCGCTGATGCAGCTCCTCTCTGTCTGTCTGAGGCCCCGCCCACAGCTTGGCCTGATTGGTTGCATGTAATCAGTAGCAGCCAATCACTGAGAGCGATTGTTTACAGACAGAGACAGAGGAGCACATCATCAGGCTGTAGCAGCGCCAGTGAATTAGCAGAGCTGTGTTTGTTTCTGCTGATGGGGCTAGGCTAATGCTAACACTACGAGGTTAGCTGTGCCTCTTAGCCTGCGGCTAAAGCCATCTGTAGCACCGTAGCATGTTTCTGAAGTCACATTAACTTTAACTGTTCTTAAGCTGAACAACAACCACAAGCATTTCTACAAATCGGGACATTACCTGCTTTCACAGTGGCAAATGCTATGCTAACGGCTAGCAGCAAATACAAGAAGCTCGAAGTAACTTGGTTGTGATTGACAGGTTTCCTGCTAGCACATGCTGCTAGTGTGTTGTTGGTCTTCATTAGTAATCAGTGTGTGTAGCAGATGGCTGCTCGCTGATGTCAACGGTCTCTGGTTGTTTCAGCCCAAGAGCTCCACCCAGCTGCTGGAGGCCTGGGGCATGAAGGACATCGACCACGTCTTCACCCAGGACGACTACAGCTCCCTGACCAACTACAAGGCCTTCAGCCAGTTCGTCAGGTGACTACTGGTGATGTTAAACCTGTGTGTCTGGTGGGAAAATATACCTGAAATGGATTCACAAACATCCACAGTCAGAATCAGCACAAACAAGAGAACCAGAGCCACAAGCAGAGCCAGAGCAGCAGGTCAGAGCAGGAAACGTGTGATAAACTACTGTGTACAGCTTCAGATGTGTGTGAACGAGCAGAAGACCAGAGCTTTAGTGGAAATAGTTACCGACTCCGTATATTCACAAGGTTTATGCAGAACTATCACATGGTTTCTCTGCGATTCGACCAGTTAAACAAGAAGATACGATTCCTGGAGGAATCCTTGAGACTCCATTTGAAAGAAAACACTTGTTATTTAATATTGTGTTCTGAGATCAATAGATGGCACCTGAAGGCAGCAGCTAGTCTGGGCTTTGGTGAAGTTAATTTTCTGGAGACAGAATCAATAAAGTTCTGGTTGATTCTATGTCTTCGTCCACTTTGTGTCTTCAGGCCGCTGATTGCAGCTAAGAACCCTAAAATCGCTGTTTCCAAGATGATGACTTTAATGATGGCCAAGTGGAGAGAGTTCAGCACAAACAACCCGCTGAAGGTGAGTCACAACCTGGTCACAGATCCCAGTTCTGATGAACAGAACCTGAGCTCAGTGTCTCTCTGCAGGGTTGTGCGACCGCTAATGCAGCGCTAGCCGCTGCTAATGTGGCTGCAGCTGTGGAGAACATGGTGGTCGCAGGAACCGACGGAGCAGCAGAGAACGTTACTGCTGCTGCACCTGCAGCTGCTGTTCCTGCTGCGACGCCTGCTGCAGCTCCTGCAGCTCCAGCAGTGCCGCTGCGCAAGGCCAAGACCAAAGAGGGCAAAGGTAAACCTGACGAAGCCTGAACAGGACAGTCGTGTCAACAAACAGCTTTATTTAGTAACTGTGGAGGTTCTGTCAGTGTTTAGATTCACACTGTCTTTTAAAATAAAGGTTCATGTCTCTGTTCCATCAGGTCCAAACGCTCGTAAGAGGTCGAAGCCGACACCTAAGCCTCCACCCAAACCCAAACCCAAGAAGGTGGCACCCCTCAAGATCAAACTGGGTGGCCTGAACAGCAAGAGGAAGCGTTCCTCGGTGAGTCCACTCATGTCCAGCATGTTCCTCAGACAGCAGAGTATTGATGATGGACTCTAACAGCTTCCTCATGTCCGATCAGAGCGACGAGGATGAACCCGACGCCGACAGCGACTTCGATGACGGCAGCTTCTCGGTGTCTGATGGATCCAACCGCAGCAGCCGACCCAAGAAGAAGCCCAAGAGTGCAAAGAAGAAGAAGAAAGGTTTGTCTGAAGTGTTGCTGAAACCAACCGTCTGCTGCACACATGCAGCTGGAGCTTTTCCTCGCTGCTCCTGGTTCACTGTCCTTCTGCTTCCCTCAGTGGAGACGGAGGACGGTGACGGCTATGAGACGGACCACCAGGACTACTGCGAGGTGTGTCAGCAGGGAGGGGAGATCATCCTGTGTGACACCTGCCCCAGAGCCTACCACATGGTCTGCCTGGACCCCGACATGGAGAAGGCTCCCGAGGGCAAGTGGAGCTGCCCGCACTGTGTGAGTACCACCAGCGGGGGCGCCGTGACCCAGGTGCATGCACGGGCTGTTTTCTAAAGCTGCGTTTTACAGACGGCCACTAAATGCATCAAATGCAGACGGTAGATG